CAGGGTAATGCTGGCCTCATAAAATGAGTTAGTAAGCATCCCATCCTCTTCAATTTTTTGGAAGAGTTTGAGAAGGATAGGTATTAAATCTTTTTTGAATGTTTGGTAGAATTCACCAGAGAAGTCATCTGGTCCTGGACTTTTGCTTTTTGGGAGGTTTTTGATTATTGTTTCAATGTCTTTACTTGTGATTGGCCTATTCAGAATTCTCTATTTCTTCTTGATTCAGTTTTGGGATGTTGTATGTTTCTAAGAATTTATCCATTTCTTCTAGGTTATCTGATTTGTTGATGAGTAGCTTTTTATAGTATTCTCTTATAATCCTTTGTATTTCTGTGGTAACTGCTGTAATTTCTCGTCTTTCATTTCTGATTTTATTTATTTGAGCCTTCTCTCTTTTTTTCTTAATGTGTCTAGCTAAGGGTTTGTCAATTTTGTTTATCTTTTCAAAGAACCAGCTCTTACTTTCATTGATTGTTTCTATGTTTTTTTAGTTGCCATTTCATTTATTTCTGCTCTGATTTTTTATTATTTCCTTTCCTCTACTGACTTTGGGCTTTGTTTGTTCTTATTTTTCTTGTTCTTTTAGGTATACTGTTAGATTGTTTATTTGAGATTTTTCTTGTTTCTTAAAGTAGGCCTGTATTGCTATATACTTCCTTCTTAGTACAGCTTTTGCTGCATCCCATAAGTTTTGGTATATTGTATTTTCTTTTCATTTGTCTCCAGGTATTTTTTGATTTCTCCTTGACTTCTTCATTGATCCAATAGTTGTTCAGTAGCATGTTGCTTAGTCTCCACATATTTGTGACTTTTCCAGCTTTCTTCTTGTTGGTTTCTAGTTTCATACCATTGTGGTCAGAAAAGATGCTTGATATGATTTCAATCTTCTTAAATTTATTGAAGCTTGTTTTGTTTCCCAACATATGGTCTATCTTTGAGAATGTCCCATGTGCATTTGGAAACAATGTGTATTCTGCTGCTTTGGGGTGGAATGTTCTAAATGTATCTAATAAGTCCACCTGGTCTAGAATTTCATTTAAGGTCATTGTTTCCTTGTTGACTTTCTGTCTGGATGATACATCTGTTGATGTAAGTGGGGTATTAAAGTCCCTTACTATTATTGTGTTGCTCTCAGTTTCTTCCTTTAGGTCTGTTAATAGTTGCTTTATATTCTTTGGTGCGCCTATGTTAGGTGCATGTATATAAATAACTGTTATGTCTTCTTGGTGGAATGCCTCTGTTGTCATAATATAATGTCCATGTGTGTGTCTGGCTATCTTTTTTGGCTTGAAGTCTATTTTGTCTGATATAAGTATGGCTACACCTGCTTTCTTTTGCCTGCCATTTGCTTGGTGTATCATCTTCCATCCCTTCACTCTGAATCTTTGTTCATCTTTAGAGCTGAGATGTGTTTCCTGGAGGCAGCACATTGTTGGGTTTTGTTTTTTAACCTATCCAACCACTCTGTCTTTTGATTAGTGACTTTAATCCACATACATTTAGAGTGAATACTGATATATGAGGGCTTAATACTTCCATTTTATCTTTTGTTTTCTGGTTGTTCTATATTTCCATTGTTTCTTTCCCTGTATTTCTGGCTGCCATTTCAGTTTGGTGGTTTTCTGTGATGTTTTTCCCAGTTTCCTGTTTATTTATGATTTGTGACTGTGCTCTGATTTTTTGTTTTCAGATTACCATGAGGTTTGTATAGAAGATCTTGTAGTTGAGATAGTCCTTTTTCTGCTGATAGCATCTTATTTTCATTAGCCTATGCCGGTTCCATCCTTTTCCTTTTCCTCTTCTGTTTTTGTCATCACAAATTATCATTTTTTGTGTTGTGAGTTTGTTACCAAATTGAAGTCATTATAGTTACTTTTGATGCTTTCTTTCCCTTTAATTTTTATGTTTTAACCAAGTGTTTACTAACCTATTCTGATATAGAGTTGCAATTTTCTGATTCCGTCTGTCTATTTATCACCTTGCTCAAAGCACTGTTAACATTTGCCTTTTTGTTTCAAGTAGGAGGGCTCCTTTCAACATTTCTTGTAAGGCAAGTCTAGTGGCAATGGGCTCCCTCAGCTTTTGTTTGTCTAGGAAAGTCTTTATTTCTCCATCATATCTGAAGGATAACTTTGCTGGATAGAGTATTCTTGGCTGAGAGTTTTTGTCTTTAAGTATTTTGAATATATCATTCCACTTTCTCCTAGCCTAGAGTTTCTGCTTAGAAATCCACTGGTAGCCTGATTTGGGGTGAGGATGGGGTCCTTTGTAAGTTATTTTCTTCTTTCTGGACACCCTTAATGTTACTTCTTTGTCATTGACTTTTGACAGTTTTAATATAATATGCCTTGGAGATGGTCATTTTGCATTGGACAATTAGGAGTTATATTTGCTTCATATACATGTATATCCAGTTCCTTGCTTAGATTTGGGAAGGTCTCAGCTATTATTTCTTTGATTAAGCTCTCCGCTCCTTTCTTCCTCTCTTCTCCTTCTGGAATACTCATTATCCTTATGTTGCTTTTCCTAATTGAGTCAGATATTTCTTGTAGAATTGCTTCTTTTATTTATTTATTTTTTTTTGAGGAAGATTAGTCCTGAGCTAACATCTGCTGCCAATCCTCCTCTTTTTGCTGAGGAAGCTTGGCCCTGAGCTAACATCTGTGCCAATCTTCCTCTATTTTATGTGTAGGATGCCTGCCACAGCATGGCTTGATAAGCAGTGTGTAGGTCCATGCCCAGGATCTGAACTGGTGAACCCCAGGCCGCCGAAGTGGAGTGTGCAAACTTAACCACTATGCCACTGGGCCAGCCCCAGAATCTCTTCATTATTTGAAAATCTTAGTTCTCTGTCCTCTCCCACCGGAATCATTTCTAGATTTGTATCTTTGAACTCACGAATTCTTTCTTTCACATGGTCTGCTCTATTTACAATGCTTTCTACTTTATTTTTCATCTCATTAATTGCATTTTTCATCTCCAGAATTTCTGTTTGGTGTTTTTTGTTTTTTGGAGTTTCCATCTCCTTGGTGAAGTAGTCCTTCTGTTCATTAATTTTATTCCTGAGCTCATTGAACTGTCTTTCTGAGTTTCCTTATGGCCACTGTTTTGAATCCTCTGTCAGTTAGATTGGAATCTTCTGTGACTTCAAGTTTGGTTTCTAGAGAGTTGCCATTTTCTTTCTGTTCCACTGTGTTACCTTAGTTCTTCATGGTATCTGATGAGTTGATCCTCTGCCAGCACATTTGTGGTAATAACCACCTTTCTTATTTGGGTAAGGCTTTGATCACTTTGGTTTCGAGCTGCTTCTGGTTGTATTTGAGAGCTGCACTTTCCACCCTCCTCTGCCTCTGCTAGAGGCATTGTCAGTGTCTTCCTTGTGCTGTTTGTACCTCTGAGGTTGCTGGTGCCCTGTTGCTTATGATGTCACTGCAGTCTCAGGTGTTACCACTAAGATCACCAGGCTGTGAGCACTTCTGCTGCTTTTGTGGTCACCTAGGTCTTGTGTTCCTCCATTGGCTCTCTGCAGGCTCTCCATGGGCTCGGGTACTGTGCCGCATGCACTACCTGTGCTAATGTTCCTGGGTTGTCTGGGGGTGCTGGCAGCACTGCTGCAGGGGCACTAGGTTCACAGGTGTTTCTGTCACTGCTGGGGGCCCAGGGTCTTGTATGCAGCCCCCACTGCTGGTAGAGCTGGTGTTGGGCATGTCACCACTGGGGGCTTGTTCATGGGTCCTGCAGTGGTTTCTGAAGCCTCGGGTTGCAGGTACCACCTGCCACTGCTAGGGGAGGGGCAGGGGTTAAGCCGTAGGTGTTGTCATTGGTCCTGCAGCCTCTGGTTGCTGGCATGCGCCATTGTGCTTTTTGGAACCTCAGGTCAGAGCGTGCCACCCCAGCCAGGAGAATCCATGTTTTGGAGGCTGTCCCCACTGCTGGAAAGACCAGCACAACTTCCAGGGGCTAGAGAGGGGGCTGAGTGGCCAGGACCACTGTGTGTCCTAACACCTCAAGACATAATGCACCACCAGCCACTGCTGGGGGTGGCTGGCAGAGGCTAAGCCGTGAGTGCCATGTTTGCCCCTGAAAATGATGGGTCTTGCTTTTTAATCTATTTGCTGGTGTGAGGATCCATGTTTTAGAATGCTGCCACTGCAAAGTGCTGGTTCTGTTTGGGAGAGGGGCTACTGGGGGAGGTGGAGGGAGCTGCTCCCCTAGTTCCACTACCTCCCGGAGGTCCAGTCCACCCATGTTCAGATGTATAGAGGCATGGATCTCTCAGGTGTTCTGGTGTGCTGTGCAGGGAGTCCTTTGTTGGTCAATGAATGCCCAACTTGTTGCACCTTAGAGGGGAGAGACAAAGGGAGCAACTCACTCTGCCATAATGCTGATGTCACTCAAGACTTGCTTCTTATACTTAGTAATATGTACTCGAGATTGAGCCATGTTATTTCACCCAGGGTATTTTTGTACCCAACCATGTATACATTGTTCTCAAAATATTTCCTTTACAGAAGCAGAATGTTTAATGAATGTCATAAAAGCCAATGAGGACGTGAAAGAAAGTAGGGTTTACAAAGTTGGACACAGGCAGAACATGGTGGTAACATTCATTATTTGTTAAAATAACTTTTATGTAACATATTAAATGGAATGCAAACTTTCATAAAGCACATTTTGGGGATTTCCAATACCAGATGCTATACACTCCTGAAATCGTATAGAAATATGCTTCACTTGAAGAAAAGTTCTATTAGAAAAAAACTTAATCTAAAAGCAGGTTAATTAGGAAGTGCTTATAAGTTTTACGTTAGGGTTCTTCATTTTCCAGGAGGATTCAGAATATTTCTGTTAAAACATTCAAATTTCTCTGAAATTCTAATCTGTTTAATTTACTTAAAAACTCAATTTACAAATTTAAGAGCACATATGTTTAAAGTGAAGTGTAGTAAATGGCATAAAGTTCAGAAATTTGGCTAGCTAAACTCAAAACGAATTTCAGAGATCATCAGCCAAATCAAAGAGCCCACAGCATCAGTTCCACTTTGACCTTCCCTGGCAGAGGAGAAGTGCATGCAGTAAAAAGATCGTGGTCATGGTGAGGGTGTGTTGGGATGTCTCCAGAGAAAAGGCCCACTTTCGCTTCCATCAAGAAATTTTACGTGAAGCCTGTCCCAAAGGGTGAGTTATATGTGTGACAGACATTTTCTCCTAATCATTTAACCACTGGTAGTTTAAAACTATATGGCTGTGATTGGTTCTGTGTGGCTCACTCCTCTCATTCATTTATTCCTCCATTCATTCATTTATTCATCACATACTCACTCAATGCCTACCATATGCAAAGCACTGTACTACATGCCGGTTGAAGTAGAGTGGTAAATGCTCCTTTTATTTCATAAATGATATAAAAATGGATCAGACATCAGTACTTCCATCACCTTCTTTTGTCTGTTCCAGATGTCGCTAAGCAATATATTCTGTGTTTTCCATATCAAAATAGTTTTAAATAGTATGTCTTGGATCAGTCATGACATTTTACTCAGAAAATATGGCCTCCAATGTTAAGGCAAGCCTATTTTCTATGTGAACCTCAGTCTCCTCATCTGAAAAATGAGGAATTTAAGAGATTTTTCTGAAGACCCTTCTAAAACAAGAGCCTGTATGATGGAGACGTGCCCCTGACATCCGTCAACTAGAAAGAAACCGTCTTGTGTTGCCATCTGAAAAGAAAAGAATGACCTGTTCTGAAATCTACATTTTTGATTGACCATGACAGTGGTGTAGAGATTGTTGGAGAGTGAGGGAAGGCCAGTGAAGGCCACTATTTGTTGAGTGCCCACTGGGCGCCAGACACAGCCCTAGACACGTTGCACCCATTGTCTCCCTGAATCCTCAGAACAACACTGTAAGGTATGTATCATTATCCCCTTTTTCCTGATGAAGAAACTGAGGCTCAGAGGAATGAAAGGTGCAGCTCAAGATCAAGAGCTGGTAAAGGGCAGTCTCCATGCTGCCACATGGCCCCATTGCCCTTGTCATTTCACTGTTGTCCATTGGCAACAATTAAGTAGGAAACCTTAAGAGTGAGGCACGTTTTCTTGGAATGTATAGTTGAAAGTTGTACTCCACTGAGGCCGTAAAGTTCTTGGAAAATATGTTAATGTCTGGATTCTTTTAAAGCCATGTGAACATACTAGACAATATGATGAGCAAGCTGGAAGCATATGCCAATCACCTGGAGGAGGTGGTGGAAGAGAGGACCAACTAGCGGATGGCAGAGAAGAGGAAGGTGGATAAGCTTCTGTCCACAATGCTGTCCAGGTATCCCAAAGCACTGGGGCCTTGACAAAGGAACCCAGGAAGCAACAGCGTCACTATCTAAGGAGGCCCCACATGGAGAGAATATTTCCTTTGTTCTTTTCCTAGGAGGACATCAGTTTCTTGTAAAATGGGTCAAGTATTTTGCGTGTAATTAGGCACACCCTATAAAGGGAGATAGAGGCAAAAGCCCTTGAATCCATAGGAATAGAGAGTGTAGGTCTTTTGCATGGAAGATGGTGGATTCAGCAATAAGAGAGGAACCACTAGATGGCGCTCTAGTTTCATGAGTCTGATGAATTGCTAACTTCCCAGTATTTCAGATTGTAGTCCAAAGCCTTTGCACGATACAATATATACCCATGACTTCACATCCAAAACTTGCTTCATTTTTGCCTCTGCTTTCACCTCTGCATTCTCTAAGCACTTGGCAGAAGCATCGGCTGTTAAAATCCCACACCTTTCTTGTGTGTCTCGACAAAGAAGCTGGGTTGGGGATTTGAACGTGTTAATGCAAGATTGTTTGATAGAAGCAAAATATTAATTTGTGCATTAGTGAATGCTTATATTTGCTTACACTTCTGCAGATCGAGTCTTTACAAGCAAACTCTATAACCAATAGGAGACAATGAAGTGCCTTTAGGGAGAAAATCCTTTCTGTAAAGATGTTTCTGTGACCTGCCCGTCCCGCCTCCCCAATCCATACCCACCAATTAAAATATCTCTTTAGAGAAAATGCAGGTGGAGAAATGGGTGTCAAAAGAATCCCTCTAGACGATGGATTTTGTCAACTGAAAACCCAACTCATTGAAGCAAAAGCATCTACAGGGTGACTTTGTAGGGGTCTACAGGAGAAAGATGAATAAGGTACTGTTCAAAAATGGTCCTGCTCTCTGATTTCAGCTTCACTGGAGAACAGCTCAGAGCTGGAAGTTCTGTGGAACCAGAAAATTTTAAGTCCGTGACAATCTTTTTCTCTGACATTGTTGGATTCACAAAACTGTGTTCTCTCAGCTCCCCCTTGCAAGTTGTAAAGCTCCTTAATGACCTGTACAGTTTATTCAATCACATCATTAAAACTTATGATGTGTATAAGGTGAGACACCTGGCTCCTGGGTTGTGAGGGAACATGAGCTCCTTGTCGGCTGTCTCCGGGCGTGAGTGAGGATGAACGCAGCCCTAGACGTCAGCCAGGAGGAAGGCTCTATTTCAGGCTGGCAGTCTATCTCGATTCATGACAGAAACTCAATATCTTATTCTTGTTTGTTTTCTTGGGAAAGAGCTTGATTAATCAAAGAAGTAGGTGCTTGTCAAGAATCATCAGTTGTTCCCTCTGTTTCCTTCCATTATTATATCTTGTGGTAAACACATTTCTAAAAGAGGCCTTGACCTTCCACTGGCTAATTCTGCCAGTTGCCTCCTGAACGTATTTCCTTCAGAGACAGAGAGGCTCCCATGTGCTCTCCTTGAAAGGCTGTCTTTGGATCTTGTGTGAGTCCCACTTCTGTTAATGTGATCCTTAGCAATTCAGGTGAAGACAGACTCCTGAGTTTAGACTATTGGACCCATGGCTAAAGGTGAGACAGCTACCTGCCTGGTGCTACCCTGGGGTGTATGAACGTGGTCACCTAGTGTGCAAAACGATTTTGGAGGGAGAAGAGCAAGAACAAATAATTTGGCCTCGTTCAGGTGGTGGTGATGACGGCTGCTTTAGGTGTTTTCTGACTTTTCAGATGGGCCAGATGGTGACTCCTGGGACAGTACCCATGTTCACACACGCCTGGTAGGCAGCCTCAAGTGCACCAGCTCTGACCGTGATTGCAGGGCTCTCCCTATGGCCCTAGGGTCAGGGACATTTGGGGGACAGTGTGGTCATGTCCCTGAGTGACAGGTCCTCAATGGTTATCCCTGAGGGTGAAAGAAAGGATGACATGGATATCTCAAAGAGCAGATCACACACACCCAACAAAACAGGACCGGCTCTGCTTGGGGGGACCTCCTCTGGGACTTCCTCTTAGTGCTATCTTCTCAGTTATGTTTTGCATGAGCTAATGCTAAAATCAGTTTGTATTTCTAAAAGATGTGCTCATGGTGAAGAGAGGTACCCTAGGAAGACTTAGACTCGTGTACTAGTTGAGTCTGTAATTTCAGGGTCACCAGGAGACAGGGGTATTCCGACTGCCTGGCTAAGGCCTGAAATTCCACCTTTATCGCAGTATCTTTGGATTCTGCTAGAATGCAAATGGATCTGGAAAGGACTATAACTTTAAGTTTACGCTTGTCGTTTATTCTCTGTTGTGAATGAAGGATCTGAAAGCTGATTTTATTAGGAGGATTGGGAGAGAAGAGGACAGATCAGGCAGATACATACATTTATATATATGTATAAATGTATATATTTTGTGTAAATATACATATGTATACAATGTATATAAGAGTCCTTGTGTGGGGTGAAGACATTTCAGGTTCCATAAGATGGATTCTACTTGATCCATGTGATCCTTTGCAATTTACCTCATCAGTACACTGCTGCCTATCTAACTGGTTTTGAACTTGGGTTGGGAAATATGGTCACACCACTGTCAGATTTCAGAGGAGGAAGCAGTGACAGTGGGGAGAAGGGCTCAGGGAAGGAAGGCTTTGTGGAAGAACCAGGACGAGAGCAGGAACTTGAGGAAAGGCTGGCACTTGGATGGAGTAGAGGTCAGGGAGTGTGACCCCTCAGTATATGAAGCCTCAAAGCAAGGGTCAGTAATGAGGGGCCTTGGTCTCTGAGCCCGCCTCCACTCCTGACCTCCCTCCTGGAGGACACAAGGCCACCTTGTTGCTTTATTTTCAGGTTGAAACCATTGGAGATGCATACATGGTGGCTAGTAGACTTCCCATCCACAATGGAACCCAACATGTGGGCGAGATTGCCACAATGTCCTTGCAGTTTCTCAGAGCCAACATTCACTTCCAGATTGGGCACATGCCTGAAGAGAAGCTCAAGCTTCGAATTGGCCTCCACACAGGTAGATAACACTGATGGCAGGTGGCCTTATGGTCCAGGTGTGGCGGCAGGTAATTCTGAGCTCAAGTCCTAGGTCGGAGGATTTAGGAACCCTGAAATAGATGGTAACATCTCCAGGGGAAATAAAAGGTTGAATTGTCTTAGCATGTGTATTTCCAGTTAGCCCGATTGCTTGATAATAGACACACTAAGACTTCAAGGTGTTGAACCAAAAATAAGGAGGAGACCAAAAACCAGAGCAGTTATATCGGGCTGCTTTTCCTCCATGCCTCTGCGTCAAATGCCCTTTGATCTGTTCTGTTTTTGTCAAACTCATGGGCGTGTGACCTGAGCAGAAGTGACCTGCACTTGGTTTAATTCTCTTCCATCACTGTCTTGAAATTCTTAATAACTTTTGAATGAGGGGTCCCTTATTTTCATTTTGCACTGGGCCCTGCAAATTATGTAGCTGGCCCTGCTCCTACCTATCCTCCAAGGCTTAACTAAAGTAAAACCTGACCCCTAATCAGAATTAATTACTCCCGTATTTGTGCCCCTGTGGCTTTGTTTACATCTCTAGTACATGAATAGCATTGTCATTAATTTCTGTCTTAGCTCAGTCGTTATAACAAAATACCATAGACTAGGTGGCTTAAACAATAGATATTTAATTTCTCACAGTTCTGGAGGCTGGGAAGTCCAAGATCAGGATGCCAGCATGGACTGGTTCTGGTGAGGGCCCTCTTCCTGTACTGCAGAAGACTGCCTTCCAGTTGTGTCCTCACACAGTGGAGAAATTGAGAGAGCTCTGGTGTCTCTTCCTCTTCTTATAAGGACACTAATGCTGGCATAAGGGCCCCACCCTCATGACCTCATCTGAACCTAATTACCTCCAAAAGGCCCCTCCTCCTAATACCATTATTTGAGGGTTGAGGGCTTGAACATATGAATTTGGGGGTGGGGTGGGGGGGACACACAAACATTCAGTCTGTAACGTTTAATTATGTTGTTTCCCACCAGAAGTCTGTGGGTTCCATAGGTTGCCTCATTAAACCCTAGGATCGATTACCAAGCTTTACCCCAAGAAGGCACTCAACAAATGTTTGTTGAATTGCATTTGTTGACTTAATGTGCATCATGGGGTCTAGTCCTTGGGAAATGCAGACTGGGTATGCCCTTCTGTTCTTCCCTTTGTAGGCCCTGTGGTGGCTGGCGTGGTGGGAGTCACCATGCCTAGATACTGTCTGTTTGGAGACACTGTGAACATGGCATCCGGAATGGAAAGTAGCAGTTTGCGTGGGTATCATTTATAGCACTTTGCAAACACAGTCTTGCTGTCCCTCCAGTCTGCTCTCTTTCACCAGAGAGTATTTTGAGAGGACTCATTTGCATTTTCTACAGTTTTCCGTTTGGAGAATAAGATCGTTATCCACTCGAGACAACACTGATCACAAGCTTTGTAGACAAGGTTTTGTACTGTTCTCTCTATGGAGCTGTGTAAACACACACGACTTACTCCTTCTAAGACTTTCCATTCTAAAGTCAGGTGCACATACAATAAGATCATTTAAATGAAGAGCAGGAGTTTGCAAACTTTTTCTGTCCAGGGCCAGACAATAAATATTTTAGGCTTTGCAGGTCATTGTCTCTGATACAACTACTTAACTGCAATTGTAGTGTGAAAGCAGCCATAGACAATATGTAACTGAATGTGTGTGGCCATGTTCCAATAAAACTTTATTTGCAAACACAGGTGGTGGGCTGGATTTGGCCCATGGGTGGTAATTTGCTCTTCCCTGATGTAGAGTATGGTTCTGGTGATGCAGAAGAAATCAATGGCCGAGAACTCCGGGGAACATCATACTATTTTGCTTTACAGTAATTTCTATTGCATTGACTATTGCGAGACACATGTATGCCATTTATCAGCTGAGACATTTATCAGCTGGAAAAAATAATTACTCAGTGATTTAAGTTTCAAAGAGTTTAGGTTAACATTCTCTCGAATATGTAAATTTCCCACAATATATAAAAACACATAAAAAAGTTTTCCCCCTCTGATTATGTCATTGTTTAACTTAATCCACCACATCTCAAACACAGATTTTTACCCCTCGTTTAGCTTGTAAATCAAGGTTTTCAGGATAAATTTTGAAAGTGGAACTGCTTATGTAGGCTCCAAACCTGACTCTGTTTGCAGTTCTGGTTACAAACAACATTTTCAGTGATACGTTCGGCTCTGGTATCATCCTAAGAAGCCTGAAGAGCCCACCTGATTTCCCTCCATGAGGAGTATCAACTTGGATATGGAGTCAGTTCTGCCTTCTGATTCTAAAGTGAGTATATTAAAGCTTGAGCAGCACCCAGGAGTGTCTTGGATGGTTGGGGGTCTCAGCCCAAGGGTCCCAGACTTCAGAGAGGTTGTCTGTGATTTGCTTAATGAGAGACTTTGAGCAGTGCAACATTCCCCTCCACGGCAGCCGCTGTCCCGCTGACACCTGTGTGAGAGTCATGATCAAGGCGATAACTAGGCAATGACTGGTTCATGGCAGCTCTCCGGATTCACGTCTCTCAGAGCACTGCAGGTGCCCTGCTGGCGCTGGGAGGGTATGATCTGCAGAAGAGAGGCACCACTCCAGTCAAGGTAAGACCTGGCAAACTGTACCCCACCTGCCCCATTGGGGTCTCTGATGGAGGTGTTGAGGAACTTGGCAAGATGAACGAATCTCCACGCTGTGGTGTGTGGAGACCTCTAAGGTCCATTGGGAGGTGCTCGTGTTTCTAGGTCTTCTTCCTTCAGACAGGACTGTATGGTTCCCTCAAAGAGTCAGACATGGAATCTATGACAGAAAACACCTTGTCTCCCACCTAGACCAACCCTTTATGGGATGCCTCCTTTCTCTTTGCCACTAATGGTCTCCCGGCCTCCCCTTGAATACCCCAGTCTCATCTCCCACACAAAGTAACAGCTAATACAAGCCCAGGAATCATGAAGCTCACAGGGGAGAGAGAAGCCCACTGGTTTGGGGGTACTAGGACCTCATCTCTATACATTTAAATATTTCTCCCCTTTCCTTCTGCCTTCTCCTCCATCCTGGTCTTCAGTCTGTTACTGAAACTTACCATGATCTTCTTTCCGATAAACACTGCCCTTTTGGGGCTGGGGGGGGGTGCTCCTCTTGAGATATTCTCAACAACATCTTGGAGATTTTCACAGTAGGAGTGGTGGGTGGTTACTAAGATATTGGGTGTTTGGGTGGGAGTGGGGTCCAGGGAGAGAAGTGAAAGGTAAGGGGGTGGCATCAACTCCTCGTTTGCTGAGTCTGCTCCTGGCTTGCTGTATTTGATCAACTGACTTCAGGAAAGAGGAAGAATTTTCTAGAAGGCAGCAGTATAGCCCTAGCTTTGAATCCTGTCCCACTATTTACTAGCTGTCTGATTTGGGGGCTTGGTTTTGTCATCTGTAAAATGGGAATGGTGATAATACTGCCCTCAAAGGGTGGATGCGAGGATTAAATGTGAACATGCATGTGAGGGGCTTCACCTGGTGCCCCACTCATAGTAAGAGCCAATAGGCTTCATTACTATCTTTTAAAGATTTTTTTTGCAACAAACTTTAGCTCCCACTGGTCCTCACCCCTAGGCCATTGCTGACTGTCCATCGAGGCTCATCACCAAAGCCCAAGGGAGTCATCAAGATTTCATTCACAACGAGGCCTTTTCCTCACTGAGGCAGCTCCTGCCTAGTTGCGGGTCTGGCTACAAACAGCGTTTTCAGTAAGCAGCACGGGAGACTGAGTCGTCTGCTCAGAGGCCACATCTCACAGGCAGCCTCTCCTCTGAGTCACCATCGCTCTCCTTTCCCTCCCACAGGGGAAAGGAGAACAAACAACTTTCTGGTTGAAAGGCAAAGCAGGCTTCACTATTCCACTCCCTGAATTTACTGAGAAAGAAGCTAAATTCCCAGAGATCTTCTGAGGTGAGTGTCTTTTCTGAAGATGTCTGTGGGGTCTCAGGAAAGTCTGTGAGGTGCGTTAAATATACCACATAGGGGATGTACTTCCAGGGTGTTGAGTCAATCTCCCAGTAGGGGGAGCCATCTAGCTGGCCTCCTCTTCCCACTCTGAGTTCTGTGGCCCAAAGCACACTTGGAGCTGGAAGAGCTGGATGTGGTGAACTCGTTTCCTGGGGGGCCAGGGCTGGGCTGTTGCTCCCAGACCTGCCAGTAAGCCTGCCTTGGCTGCCAGATATTTCCGGCCTATTAGCTTGCGATTTGCAGCGAACCCAATTCATTCTGGGCGAGGGGAAAGCAGGAGAACAAAGCCTGGGCCGACAGGCCCCACCCACCCCACCTTCCTGTGCAAGGCGGCTGCTCCCTAACCTTTAGTGCTTATTTCCTTATCAGCTAAAGAGCCTGCAAGGAGATAGGAATGCATATGAGAAGGCACCTCCAGAATGTGTTCAGGAGATGAAGCTTTAAGGTTTGATTGAGCAAGCACTGAAAGCCAACCCGACCCGGGCAGTTCCAAGCAGACAGGACCCCTGCAGTCTAGTTACCAGAAGGCCTGGTCCCTGGTTCTAACTTCCTTTGAGCACTGCAGCTTCCAAATGGATGATGTCCTGTTCTCAATTTATTGTATATATTTTTTCCTATCCACTGAGCACGGGATACAGTCAAAGCTTGCATTTTAAATAGAATTTTTCACTCAGTTACGAAGTACTTTTTTTTTTTTAAAATGTCCAGCAAAGATGAGCTCTATCCACTCTGATATGAATATTTCCCCCTTTACACAAATAGGATCCCATGTTGTTTAATAGATTTACTGAACTGCTAATGCATTTACAATACTTCTTGCTTTATCTCTTGCGACTCCTCGCATCCAGATTGTCTTCCGTGTGGTTGCTTCTGAATATGGCAGAGTGATTTAAATGATATATCGTGTCTGAGACCTTTTCCTGTTGAATTTCCTATGACTGAAGAAGTGGAAACCAATGAGAATGTTTTCTTTTTCGCTTGACCTGTGAGCTGCCTTTGTGGAGATATTGTTGAACTCTGAATAGGGAAATAAACTACGTTTTGGTGGGTTGAGAGCCTTTAATACCAAATTTTACAGAAGGTTTGGTGGAGTTCTTGCCTTTCTTCAGGAGGCGAGACTCTAAATAGGAGCCAAGGGAAGTGCTTTGCAGTCTCATCTCCACCAAGCTTCTAAGCGCTTCTGTCGGCTGGACTTTTCTTCTGCCCAGGGTGGGCGACTAAACTCTAGGATTTTCACAGACTTTATTTTCTATAACATGATTCCATTTTCTTTATGGTAGGTTCTGCTCCTCTCCACAGGCCTTCAGTGTCAAGGATTGAAAGCTTTTGACTGATGTTTAGAAATAAGGAAGGCAGAAGGCATTTATATGAAAGGGACAGGGGTGTGTCTTCTGCTACCCTAGCATGGAGACAATGGGCCAAAATTTATCTTCTCATGTCTCATAATGTCTTCTCTTGTTGGGGATCTTGGCTTCTGGATCTGAAACACTTTATTCCACCATTAAAGGGAACAAGGCAACCTCTGCTATGAGGTCTCTTAGAGAGATGGGCCAGTTCCCATCCATCTGTCCATCCATCCATCCATCCATCCATCCATCTATCCGTCCTTTATCCATATGGACATGAACAAGGAGCATTTATTAAGCAGTTACTCTGTGCTAAGTACCACATTGGGGGACAGAAGAAAACATGAAACTTTCCTTAATCTTAAGCTCTCCATTTAGTTGGAGGGAGGCAGCATATATAGTAGTAATGCAGTATATTAAGAACTAATAGAGGTATGTATGAAAGTGTAGACATAACTAAGCAATCCGATATTGTTACATTTAAAAAGCCTTAGAAAATGATACACAGATGTAGGGATGGGGTGGGATATGGAGATTGTCTGTTATTATCCCATCTTTGTATTTGGGTGAAGTGCATGTGTGTTTGTTCTCTAGCCTACATGCTTATGTAAGTTAGGTTCATAAAATAAAGACTTTGTTACCTCTGCCTTCTTCATTCAATATTATAAACATTTGGCGTCTGCACACACACAAACATATAAAACATATGTACACACATGTGCATACACAGACATACACACACGTGCAAATATATACATGCACATGCACACATATTCATATACAAGTGCATATATGCGACACATATATAAATCTCTCTATATCTATCAATAGATCAATAGAGAGAGATTTATGTGTGTGTACTCAGTATATACGTGTGTATTTATATATTTCCTTTATATTACTCAAGCTTTTGAGAGAGAGAGAGTCTTTAGGGATCAAAAGCAGGAATTTTGATAAGAGCAATTTCCTAAAATCTATAGCCAGTGTTTTTTCTATGTCAGCCAATAATACCTAAGGGAGAATGTTCTCTTTCCACATTCTCTAAATGTCTGTTTTATGTTTAGCACTAATGGGAATTTACAAGAGAGATTATTTTGAGAGTGCTTTCCCTTAATTCTTTAACAGAGAAGCTAAGAGACATGAAGGGCAAGCTGACTCCATGGGCTGTTAGTTAACTAAAGTCGAAACACACTGCTGGGGCGTTAGGACTGTAGAGACAGGAATGACCAAAAAGCTTTTTCCCCTAAATGTTAATCATACAAAATGGCTTTGCCTCTTTGCATTAGAAACTCAAGACTGGAACTTTTGAAATGTGAGTGTAGGATAGAATGATAGAAAGTCTGTGGTATAGATGGGAGTCTAAGAAGCCCTAGCTGTATCAACCCCTGGGAGGGTTGAGGAATTGGCCATCAACATGATATATTACCACTGTGAGCTGCAGTCATAGGTTATTTATTTTAAGGCATTTTATTCATTTCATAGTACCAGGTAGAAATACAAGATCATTAAGCATTATGATAAAATAAAGCAAAACTAATACAAGGTTGTTTTACTCTGACAGCCAAGGATTTATGACTATGGCTAACAGTATGCTATTTAAGAGTTTTTTATTAGGACCAATAAAATATGTCTTTTAACCTTTCTGATTACAAAAATTCAGAATTTGTAGGAAGATGAGATCTCACCCTGGTTGGAGCACCAGTTTTGAGCCCAGTTTAGACTATACTGAGTGGTTTTAATCTAGCTATTGCTAAACAAACGTGTACTCCGTGTCTCCAGAGATTGGAGAACCAGCTTAATTTCTGAATTCACTAACACAATTGTAAAAGAACCATCAAACTACTTATCTCAAAACTTCTTAAATACATTATATATAGAGACACAAACTGATGTGTTTTCAAATTATAAGCCTACTAATTAACTCTGTACAAGACTAAGAAAAAGAACTTAGAGCTCTGGCTTCTGTTACACTCCAGCTTCTAGCCTCAAACCGGGGTCCACCTTACGTTCTCAGGGATCTGCCAATTCTCCGCCAGGATTGTTTTGTGCTGTTTTTACTTTGTTGACAATGTAAAGCGTTAATATTGACATATTCTGGATCACTGGGGTGGCCGTGTTACCAGGGTGTGGCACCACGTGATTCCAGTGGTCATATTTGCATTTGTGTTTCTGATTTTTTTTGTTGGTTCGATTCTAATGATTATAAGTTAATGGAACAAAAACAGATACAGGCTTGAATGTTGAAGTAAAGGCTAAATGAGGTCAGACCATTCTGTACAAATGAAGATTTCTTTCTCGAGCAAATAGTAAAAAATAGTGAGAGCGTCGAGCATCACAAGGTATACGGTAGGATTGGGTTAACAAGCTGCAGAGACCCTGTCATGGAGGTCACTCCCTAGTCATGTTGCAAGTGGCAGTTTCATTTAGGGAAGACCACATTATGATGTTAAATTCATGTCAATGTGAGTTTTATTCTTTTTTGTTGCTTTATTCCTAATTAACTTATAATTTTCCTTTGATTTTAGAAATAAGTATCAGTTACAAAAATGAGTTTATATCTATATAATGTTTATACATATTTAAGAAGTCCTATGATAAAAACAAATTAGGTTAGCACTGCAGGGTTCTCAATAACTGTTTTCCTTTATATTACTCAGGTTTGAGCAAAACTATTGTGTTCCTCTCTGATTCCCATATCATCATTTGAAAGATTGGACCCCCCCTACCTGGTGGCTCTGCCCTGGTTCTTAGAAAAGAGTTGCACAGCATCGATGACAAAGACCATTTCAGCAAAGTTGGCTATTCCTCTGTGTCCTGTACTTACCACTGACTTTGTGGTTATGCCCGACATGCGCCTCAAAATGCTCAGTTGCACTTGGTTGGCTGTGCTGGTCTTTTAACAGTACTATAGCTGTCAAAGGAGTCCACCGCAGCCCTGACTCGAGAATGGGGCAAGGAAACTCCTCCGCCAGGTACAGGAGAGGGACTGCAGGATCTAAGAGCCACAGGAAGTCACAAGAGGAAGTGGGGCACCAAAGAAAGGCAATCACTGAAATTCACAAAAATCATTGGAACACATATTTGGCAAAGTGCTATTCTCTGCTCCCCAACAATACGGTCTTCTGTTTGTTCTTTTTGGCAGCACAATAAATGTGAGCTTGTCATCAACAGAGGAGATGATCTTGGTAGAGGAGCTGTAGCTGCCTGCCGGGCTGTCGTCTATAACACAGCACAAATCCCCAGCATCACGATGAGGTGGTAGAGAACATCTGTGAACCAGATAGGAAAGGAGACAGGAACAGTTCCACAAAGAGCGAGAACAACACCACAAAGGGGGAACTCAACAAAAGAGTCAACTAGGGCTGTTACGTGAGTTTTCATAAAACTCTGCACATTTTATACAAAGTCAATTTTGTTCATCCTTTGGGCTTTCTTTAGCTCACTTGCATCAGTACAGAGAACTGAACAGACAAACCCAGGTTATGGACCTCTGACAGACAGAATCTGAACTTCTACAATACAGTGATGGTACATTTCTCTGTAGAACTTCCTTTAGAAATGAGAATCTGGGATTGGAGTCTTAAAAAGTTGGTTTACATGATTTCCTGTAATTGTGAGAGCCAAGTCTACAACTGTGAGTTTACTAATAAATAGAACTGTCTTATCCTAGCTCCTCCCTCGCATACTTGCCTCCTCCTCATCATTGAGGTGAGCTCTTCCATCCTAGCTGACATGTTTCTTCCTCTGAGAGGCTCCCCTGGCTGCTATCTAAATCATTTTCACCCACCCGCCTCCATCCCCCTCCTCCCCACTAGGCGGAACTTTAAGGAGTAACTTTCAGTTCTTAAAGACTTTGCTGGGGCCAAAGGTAAACTTCTTTTAAAACACACATCTTCCCATTAAAGATATTGCCATGACATTTCCCAGAAGTGTCTCTTTTCCTTACCTGAGAAGCTATAGAGACTTGAGAGTCCCCTGCCTGTAGTGAGGAAAGAGAGAGAAGGCCGAAGGTTTAAGAAAAGATCATGGAAGGAGAAGTCTCAGAGCTGTTTCTAAAACACAAATCTGAAACCTGGCTGTATCCTCCCCTGATTAAACCAACAGACTCCTCATTGCCTTTAGGACAAAGTTTATAGCAGGGTTTACGAAGCCTTCATCTCACACCATTTCCTCCTCTGCTCTTTAAGGCAGGGGTTGTTAAAGTTTCCGGAAAGGGCCAAATAGTAAATATTTGCAGCTAAGGGCCACCTGGCCTTTGTTGCAACTACTTGACCCTGCCGTTGTAGCATGAAAGCAACTGGAGACAAGACCTCGATGAGTGAGGGTGCCTGTGTTCCAATAAAACTTTATAGACACTGAAATCTGAATTTCATACAATTTTTATGTGTCCTGAAATATTGTTCTTTGGACTTTTTTCAACCACATAAAAGGGTAAGAACTGTTCTCAGATTGCAGGCCATGCAAAATCAAGAGGCAGCTGGATTTGGCCCCTGATCCTGATGTGGTAACTGTCCTCTAAGATGTAGCTCCTAAAGGCCCCAGCCTTCTCACAGGCCTTGCTCACCCTTCATGTCATACCACACTTCAGCTCATACTTAAAGATTACCGACAGAAGTCTTCCCTAAGCCCTGGACCAGGTTGAATCCCCCTGCCATATATGCCCGTAGCACCCCGCCTTCCCCCACCCCCATCAATAGTAATCTCCCTTCGCATTTAACATCGCTCTCCTTGCTAGATGATAAGTTCTTGAGGACAGGACCCATGTGGGTCTTTATTTCTGAAACCCAAGTGCCCAGCCCAGACCAAGCCCAGCCCTGGCTGTCAGTAAAGTTTGGTTGACTTTCACTGGTTGTTCCCAATACATTTCATTCTCTGTTATTATTGTTGACCACATGCTCTGTCTGGAAGTTCAGCACCTCCTAATTCCTTGGGGGATTGGAATTTAGGCCACAGATGGAACTTTTCAGAGTAGTTAACAAACCTCAACTCTTTGGTTTGGCATCAACTATTACCCCCTCTCCCCATCACGCCTTCCCTCCCCACCCACCCCTGTGTTGGGAAGACTCCAGTTGCGGGTAAAGGCTGTGTTTACAGGCAGGACTGGTTTGGCAATTTAGTTAACATGCTCAAACTGGCTGTGCCTGTGGACGCAGCCCATAGAGAACTCAGCCATTTGGAAAACAGAGAAACTTACTATGGAGGGAGAGCTCCACAACCAGGACGCCCCCTGTCTGATCTCGGAGGAGACGCTTCCGTTTGTCGCAAGTCTGGAGACCAGGAGAAAAGGAGGGGAGAGGAGGTTGGAAGGTGGGATGAGAAGCAAACACAAGAGAGGAAAGACAAGAGATTTTAAAAAACAAAACAGAACATGTCACAAACTAAATGGAGTCAAGATTCCCCAGTCAACAGATAATTGGTTACCTTATTTTTTTTTATAACCCAGAGAGACATCTTTCATTCCTCCTCTAACTTGGGAAAAAGAAGAAAGCTTTACTTTTCAACTCTTCAGGTTGGAAGATGTCCACCTGAAAGAGGTCATTGGGTGTGGGAGGGAGTGACATAATTTCTTTTGGTAAGAAGTAAGGCTTTTACCTACAGTTACACATCACAGTGATTTGAGAAGTAGACGCTTGCAAAATGTGTTCTGGCTCATTCCTTTCTTTTCTTTTTTGGGGATGAAGATTGGCCCTGAGCTAACATCTGTTGCCAATCTTCTTCTTTTTGCTTGAGGAAGATTGTGACTGAGCTAACATCTGTGCCAATCTTCCTCTATTTTTTGTATCTTGGATGCTGCCACACCATGGCTTGATGAGCGGTATGTAGGTCTGCGCCCGGGATCCAACCTAGTGACCCCCAGGCCCCCAAAGCAGAGCCGGAAAACTTAAGTGCCATGTCATGGGGCCAGACCCTTTCTTTTCTTTTTTAAATGTAGTGTCAACAATTATCCTTTCATCAGCTGTTAAATGTCTCTCTACTCCCTTCCTTTTCTCTATTTGTGCTCATAAATGACCATTTCCTGGTCAAATGAATCAAAAGGAAGAGAGATTATAAGCTTATTTCTAATGGTTACTATAGGCAATGTGAGCAGGTATCCTCCTCAGAAACACCGTGTCCCCCTTCAGCGAAGTCTCTAGTCCAAACAGACCACAGCAGGTAACAGTTTAGGGCTGAACACTTTTAGATCTCCAAAGCGGTGGTGCGCAAACTTGAGCATGCCTCAGAATCACCCAAAGGGCTTGTTAAAGCCCAGATTGCTGGGCCCACCCTGGAGTTTCTGAGTCAGGTGGTTTAGGGGAGGCCTGAGAATTTGCCTCCCTAACAAGTTCTCAGGTGGTGCTTGAGCTGCTGTGGACCACACTTTGGAACCACTGCTCTAAGGAGCAGATTGACAGCAGGTCACAGTGGAAAACTATCTTCACCTGAATTCGCTGCTCATGTTGATTGATTCTGCAGCAACTTCTTGGTGGGGGATGCAGAGGGGAAACTGACCCCTCACCCCCACCGCAGCATGAGCTACACTAAACAGGTCTGTGAAGCCAGACCGCCACCGCTGGGCCTTTCCTCTCTCTCGGTCAGATCAGCTGTGACCGGGTGTCGGGAATTTCTGTAGCTTCTCTCTGGTCCATCTCCAGTCCCAGAGATGGACCCTCAGGCTGGCCAATCAAGGGCTAAAAATACCCACCTTTTGACTTTCATCCAGAGCCCGTTGCTACCACCTAGATTTTGAATTTTCCTTGTGCTTTTTCAAAGCACTTTCATATCTGTTATCACTTTCATTTTAGTTAACATTGCTCCCTGAAGAGAGAAGGGCCTCCTTCACTTATCACCACTCTATCTTTAAAGGTGAGAAAACCAGTTTCCTGAGGTTAAGCAACCTGTGCCAGACTGTGTAGCTTGTTTTGGTGGCAGGGTGGACAAAGCCTGGAACGTCTGCCCCCATGCTCAGTGCCTTTTCCTCTAGAATGTCCTCAGCACACACCTACACTGGTCTGGTTACAGTTTCCCAGCTAAAAATACAGCATCTCAAATACCGGCCCCCCTTGCCCCACCCCCTTGGGTAACATTCTCCTTCCAGAAAGAGGTGGCTCACCACTGGACAGGATAGCTTCTCACTGTCACAGATGAACGTCTCGCAGTGTAACCAAACCTTGGAGAGTTTGGGGATGTTCTGGAACCGGAAGGCATTGAATTGGAAGGTCGCCCTGTGCTCTTTCCCATTCTCATACACGATGACTGTTTCATCCGTGGGGCAGCTGAAGCAGAGAGGGGTGCAGGGAGGGGTGGGGAGGAGAAAGTGTCACCTTATGAACTCCAGCAAGGGCTTCTGAGGCAAGTTCACAGACAACAACACTGCCCTGGGCTTTCATACAGCATGTTGTCTTTCAAAGGACTTTGACTGGCAGCACCTCACTTAGCCTCAGGACTTGAGGTCAAATTGAGGAGCTGAAATGGGTGTGGTCGTCCCCATTCTATAGACAGGGTACAGCAGCTGGAGAGCGACTTATGAGAAACCACACACCTGGTAAGTCACCACACCTCTGTCCCGAAGAAGTCAAATCCCTGAGACAAAGCCCTCTGAAGGACTGGGACGTGTACAGACTCCCAGTTTGTGTATGAACTAAAGATAGCAGTGCTGGGAACAGCACTTCTCAAAGTGCTGCCACAGCCACCTAAGTCCAGGTCACACCCAAAACTTTTCTCTGTGTGTATCGTGAGGTTTTGCCACTGGGAATTTAAATTTACATTATACTATTTAAATTCTATATGTTTTATATTAAATAATTACTTTGTAAAAATGTGTAAAATGTATAAAAATTTTTAATGTAAGCACAGAAAAAATGGCTGGAAGGATACCATCTAAATCTTAAAACTGGCTATTGTGGGGTGGTGGCATTACGAAGAGTTTTTGTTTTCTTCTTTGTATCTTTGTGTGTTTCTCAAATTCTCTATAATGAGAACATAATATTTGAGAAGTTCCAAAGTCCCAAAGGTAATGATTGCAATAAAAGAAAAAATGATGACTCAGATGGGCATTTGTTAAAGACAGCAGTTCTCACCTGGGGGCCATTTTGTCCCCCAGGAGACATTTGGCACTGTAGTTGTCATGACTGTCATTGAGGGAAAGAGATACTGATGTCTGGTGAGTAGAGGCCAAGGATGCTACTCTACATTGTACGATGCACAGGACGGTCCCCACGACAAAGAACGATCCAGCCCAAAATGTCAATGGTGTTGAGACTGAAAATCCCTGTTTAAGCAAAATACTCTTTAGTTTACCAAACACATACTCATTTCTTATTTAAATACCAGACGTTCAACCAGGTGTTGGGAACAGACATAATCATTCTTGGGAACTTACAGCGAGGCCCACACGAGTGTGGGGGCTTGCTGTCTGCAGGTGAGAAGGAGCACCAGAGTCTGTCCTCTGTGGAATAAGCTCTATGGGTCCAAAAGCTTAAGACCAGTGGGCAGCACCATAGTGGACCTCAGTGTTACCACCCCTCCTGGAATGTCTCTTTGACTCTGTTGTCAATACAACTCAATACACACACTGGAGAGTTGTCCGGTTACCACAGAGAGCTTTCAAGATGTACCTTCTCCAGCCTCATTCTATCAGAACCGGACATTAGGGGCCCAATTAGAGGCAGGACTGAAGGAATGTCATCTCTGAGAGTTAGTGAGTGAAATAAGGAGAGAACTCTGTGCCTCATATCTGGACCAGGGGTGAAAAGCTGGCTCTGTTTGTGGTGGCCTCTGAGCAGGGACAGAGCTGAGGGCATTTTCCAAGTTACGAAACAAAACTCTTGGAGGATCATTTGGTCAATCAACCTGAGATCCTTGTATGAACTCAAGAAGTGAGTCCTTAAAATAGCTCCTTGCAGCTGGAGTGCCAAGGCCTGGTGTCAGCCAATGGAAAACAATGTAAGCAGAGCTTTGTCGGGGGCTGGGAGGAGGCAAATCATGGGCAGTCCTAGATGCCTTGGCACCGCTGCCTCTTGGCGCTGGCTGTGGCATTTTTCCCTTCATGACAGATGTCTCTGGATGGATTGCCCACAGGGTGGTTTTCACATGGTCGCCACAGGGGTCTCCTTCCCCTCATAGGATCAAAATTCCTACTAATATATCTATTCTAATCTCTCCAGGCTGTCTTGAAAACTAGATTTTCCTCCAAAAGGGCACAATGTGAACTGAAAGCATCTGGGAGATTGTGGGAGTGGACTTTTAATTCTCCCCTTTGGCACTGGTCTTGGCACATGCCTCTCCAGTCTCAAGGGGTCATTTCCACTAGGCAGAATGTGGAAATAGGCCAGGGCTCCTTTAGTTGGGCTGTGCTTAAATGCAGATACCCTGGGTTCGCCGGGGGGACCTTCTGATGTGGTAGGTTTACAGGGTGCCTGCATGTGTAACAGGCACCCTGGGTAAGTCCTGTGCACACTAGAATTTGAGGACAGCCTGTAGGGACTACCCCAAAGCCACAAGCATTGCTTTTCCTGCTCTATTACACATCGGTCAGTTGAGCAACAGCACCAGAACTTTCTGCTGGGAGATGATTCCACTGTGTGGCTGAAGTCTTTGTCCCCATGTGGCCTTTATTTGGAGAGGTTCCCAATGTAATTTCAGGTCTCTGTAGGCCAAAAATTTATTTCAGAATCTCCCTGAAACCATTTGATTGTGTCATCGTCAACAGAACCTAAATAAATCATTCAAGGACAGATGTGAAATAAGCATCCAAACTAAGCTCCCATCTGTGCAGGGAGCTTTGCTGGGTTGCTTAGATGTGGCTCTACTGGCTTGTCCTACCCACGTCACTCAGGAAATAATGCTGCCTGCGTTTGAACCCCAGATCTTCCATCCTCATACTAGCTCTAGACTTTGAGCAAGTTTCTGAACCTGTCTGTGCCTCAGTTGGCTCATCTATACAATAGTAATTAATATACTGCCTACTTTATAGGGCATTTAATGAAATTTAAATGTTAATATTTGTAAAGCCCCTATGAAGAGCAACGTGTCATGTTGTAAGTGCTGTGTAAGTGTTTGTTAAATAAAAATAAGTAAAGATCCAAAGTGACTTCACCTTTGTTATCTAATTATCTTTGTCCCTGGCCCCAGGGTTTCTTTAGCCCTGATGGATTCTGGTGATCACTTGGGCACAAGGGCCTGCTTTGGTTTGGGGAATGGCCTCTTCCGTGTTCGCTGTGCATTGGGTGGACGATGCCTGCGTCTCTAGTACAGCTCCATCTCTCCTCTGTTTTCCAAAGTTCTAATTCTAAGTGCTTCTAGACCATTCTTATCTCAAACTCAGCATGTCATCCTTGAACTCAAGGAGAAACCAAACTCCTTTATCCAGAAAGCTCCTTCCCCAGCAGCCCTCAACAATTCCTCACCTTCAGAATCCACAGATTCAACAATACAGAGCCATCTTTGTCACATATTCCTCAGACTTCTCGTCTTGGCCTTCCTTCCACCGCATAGTCAAATGGTTGCTAAAATCCTATGGCTTCTCCCTCCCTTGGATGACCTCTCCCCTCACTTGGCTATACTTCACTTCAGGTCTTATCATTTTTGGCTCTAGCTACTGCAGCATCTAATCTGATCTTCCCACTGTCCACATACTGTTTCTAAATCGTCCTTTGTATGACTTCCAGAATCACCATTCTGTTGTGCAATTCCAATAAGTCAGTCTCCTCAAAAATTTCAAGAGCTCCCTATTATTTACTGAATTAATAATAAAAACAATGATATTATTTCAATCAATAGGATACTGAGTAGGTACTACGTGCTAAGCTTTTTGCATGGATTATCTAATTTAGTCCTCACCAGGATTCTGGTGTCAGACTGATTGGATTTGAATCCACTTCCCCCAAAACACACAGATACACACACTAACTATGTGACGTTACTTAACCCCTCCTGTGGCTCAGTTTCCTCATCTGGAAAATGGTGATGATAGTAATAATACCTACTTATTGTAAGGTAAGTGAGTTCATATATGATAAAGCTCTCAGAACAGTACCTGGTATCTAGAAAGCACTATATCGTTTCCCAGTATAGGTACTCAGCCTGGAAGCACAGGAGATGGCGCCGATCCCCAAGAGGCTCTGCGTCTTCCTCTCAAGCTCCCCCAAGCCAGACTAGCCCTGGATGTACCTGGCCCCACCTCTTAGCCCTGTGCTCCGGAGAGTGGTACCTACCCCTTGTTGATCAGCTGCCACTGCAAAGGATACATGAAATCAGCTGAGGGTGTGGCCCAACAGCTGTTCAAAACCACTTTAAACCTGCAAATGAAACAAAACACATCACTTTGAGCCAGAGAGTTGTAGGAAGCATCTGGTGATTAAAAAGTCACTCAACTGGTCTTTTTTTCTTTTCTTTGTATTTAAAGATATAAACATGAAGGAAATGTACTTACCTAATGCTTAACCCTTTGGCTTCTACCCCTGCAAACAGATCTGAACCAATTTCAGATGTCTCCAAGACAAAAGGGGCTTCTTTCTTGATGGAGAACTTGGCATTCTTGGGAAGGAAATTGACATTGGGCATTATGACCTCTTAGATTGAGTACTTGGGTCTGACAGGAGCAGATAAATTGGGATGGGGTGGGGGTCGGAATCAATCCAAAGGCACAGGCACATGAGACCACAGTGAGGCCCTCCAGGACCAGAGAAACTATACTTCCTAGGATGCTGGTGCCATCTTAGAAGAGATGAGGACATCCCATGGCTGGATTTGCTGGTCACAGTGAGACACATACTGTATGTCTCATCTATGCCAATCAGGAACAAGATCTTGCTGATGGAAAAAAAGTAGAATCCGGGAATTCTGAAGCACTGTGCTTTACTGAATCACCCAAAGGCATGGGGACCAAACACATGCAACCCCACTTTGCCCTTGCTCCTCTACTATCTGCCCGAGCAGATTCCAGCCTGGGTTGGAAAGTTTATGAGCTTATTCCCAGTACAGTTAACAACAATGACAATAACAACAACTTATCCATCATCCACTATGTGTCAGGCCCTGCTTTCTCTGTTGGGATAGTCTCTATGTCAGGATGTTCTGTCTACTGAGATATACCAATGAACAAAGCAAAGATCTCTGTCTCCAACCACCTGACATTCTAGCAGGGGAGACAGACGATAGACAATAGGTAAATGAATTACATGGTTAGGATAGAATATAGTACATTATGTAGGAAAACTGTAAAAAATGTAGAGCAGGTTAAGGAGGATTGGGAGTGTGAAGAGTAACAAGTTGAGGTTTTAAATACAACGGTTGGGGAGGTCTCATTGAGGATGTGACATTTGAGGCAAGCCTCGAGAGAGGAGAGGAAGGGGGCCGTGCGGACACCCAGGGAAGAATGCTTCAGCCAAGACAAAAGCCCTGGGGTCAGAGTGTGCCTGGCAGGACAGCAAGGAGGCCAGTGTGTTGGAGCATGAGAGAGCAAAGGGGGAGGTGGGCGGAGGTGGGGTGGGAGGGCAGGAGATGAAGTTAGAGGGGCTGTGAGGGTGCGTGCAGAAGACTGTGACTTCAACTCTAAATGCAATAGGGAGTCATCGCCACAATTTGCGAGCAGGAATGGCAGCCTTGGGTCATTGGCCTGGTGTGTGTGGTCTTCACCTGCCATCTTCACCAGGCAGGTGGGGGTGAGTTATTAGGAATAATTACAGGGTTTGCAGTTGACTTACCCAAAGGAGGCTGATTTCTCCATTCTTTGAGTCTTGCATTCACTCAACTCTAGTAACGACCTTTAACTACTCTCCAAGGTTAGCCTCCAGAGACAAGAGCATCATGATGGAAGGGTAAGGATCCTGGGCTAATCCTAGCTCCCACCACTAATGTGGGATACACTACAGGCAAGTCAGTCTTTTGGGCCTCAGTTTCTCCATCTGCAAAATGGGAATAACTTTTACCTTCGTCTGCCTTGCAGAAATGTTTTTATAATGGTGATTTTATGTAATAGAAAAATAAAGCTTAGACCAGATACTGGTTAAAAGATTGTTTCATGGACTTGGAGATTTACAGAACTGCCATAGGTAGACAGTGGCAGCAAGGATATCTAGCTAAAAAGGACTTTAACTCCCTAAGGGTCAAATTCAGAGAAGCAGCTGAGAGGACTCAGAATCAAATTCTAGTGCCTCTTACACTATTTTACTGATTGCAGGTCCAGCCAGGGCTCCCAGCCTCAGTGACCTAGAAATCAATTGTTTTCTTCCCATCTGTCAGCCCTCTGCACCGTTTAAATGGTTGTAATAATTAAACAATAATGTTCTTAATCATAAGTGATTTACTAGCTTAATATGCAGGTTGAAGTGGCAGATTTACAGAGGTTTTTAATATTCCTTATTGTTTTTTGAGATTTATTATATTTAAAGAGACTGTTTCCAAATGTGGGGCCCAACCTGGGGACCACAATGCTGTCCTCAGTCTAGCCAGAGGTGTTTCTCCCAGCTCCATCTCCCAGGGACCAGCCAGCAGAAAATTGGAACATTGGAATAATGTCTCTGCTCACAGAGGAACCTGACTGATTACGCTACAAAGTAGAGAACAGAATCTGCACCATTAATTCAATTTCTGAAATAAAAAACACCTTTAATGGTCAGTTTCTCCACTTTCCACTCAACAGCTAAAGCCAAGCTCAGCGTGATTTTCCCCTAATTTCTTTATAATAGAACAATTAGGAACCTCTTTCCAGATAGCTTCACTCTCCAATACCCAGACAGTTTGTTTTGGCATCCTTGGAAACATTGAAACGCCACATAATGAGTAGTAACTCATTCATCGAATGGGATGGAAGAGCCCCTTGAAAAATCGTGCCATCTAGTCCCTTCATCTGACCAAAAGGTTGAGTCACAACCAGCTAGTGACACAAGTTAGGATGCATATATCTAGTTTAACAGCAGTTCATGTGAGAAAGATCTGGGGGTTGCTTTTGCTCACAAGCTCAATGTGAGATAGTGGTGGAAGAAAACTGCCCCAAAGCTAATATTATCCTAGACCATGTTCTTAGAGTCTTCCAGAACCCAGAAGCTCACCTCTGACCTGCATTGGTCTGACAAGGTCCAGAATACAACATTTCAATTCTGGGCTCCACTTGCTACTAGGGGCATTGACAAAGTGGATCACACTCAGAGAAGAGTGATTAGGATGATGTGTGGACCACAAACAGTGGCAAGATATTTAGCTTGGGAAGGAAAAGCTTGAGACATTTGAAGGACTGTCAGCAGCAGCATCACAGGCTATTATTTCAGAAGACAGAACAGGACCGATGGGCTGGAGTTCAGGGTGTCGGATTTCATACGCTCATCTAAAATGAGAAGGCCTAACTTGCTATTGTCCTTGGAAGAAGTGGTGAGCCTACCACTGAGCAGTCTCGCAGAAGAGTTTTGGGCTTTGGGTGGAAGGTCAAGGTTAATCACCTCTGAGGTTTGTTCTGACTCTGAATGTCGTGTTGATCTCTATTGCTTGCATTTGTTCCATCCCAAGCTTTTTCATTTGCTTCTGTGTAACTAGGAGGAATGGTGAGTACCATTTCAATTGAATAAAAGTCAACCTAATCCCACACTGGCATTGATGCTCAACCTTATAAAGGTAACAATGCTGGTGTCAGGAGCTCTCAGGGTTTCCACTTTAAATGAAGTCAAAGGCTACAACCATGAGAATGACTACTTTCTGAGGCACTTATCTTGTGCCAGACATTGTGCAAAGTGCATCATAAGAATTATTTCATTTAATCTTCATAACAAATTTGTCAGGTATGTACTATTACTATTATTACCCTTGTTTAACAAATGCACAGGTGGAGTCCCAGGGAGGTTACCTTACTTGCCCAAGGTCACACAACTAGTAAATGGTGGAATCAGGCTTCAAACCAACGGTCTGATGTCAAGGCCTATTTTCTTAACTATAATGCTAGTCTACTTCTGCAAGTTGACCACCTTCCCTTAGTTTGGATGGGGAGTCAAAACAACTTTTTCCCAAGAGTACCAACCATGGGCCATTGGTAGAAGTGAGTGGGAGTGGGTAGAGAGAGAAGAGAGGAAGCATGCTGAGTAGAACCAGTGGTTTTGGAGTCCAGCATTTGGAGCTCTTGGAATCCTAAGCAATTAGCAGTGCATTGATTCCATTGTGCAATCTAGGGCACAGTTCCGTCTCTAGTAATTTGATGCAAATATATGCAGGGAGCAGTGGTTGCTTCAGAAATGCACAAGAATGCTCTCAAAGTGGAAGAAAGGGGGAGAAGAAAAATACCAAAAGCGTGGGTCAGACATAGGAAACCATGTCCATGGTGGGAATGTTAATCAGTACAAAGTCTCTGTTGTAACATCAGAGCCCCATCTCTGCCGAGGTCGTTTGTTCTGTATGGGTCTTGGTGGGCCCCAGGGGAGGCTTTATCCTTGTTTCTAGAACAGTTCAAGGAAACATCCTGTTACGTCTGTCTGTCTAGCCCAGAGGATGGCCTGGGTGATGCTGAGAACATGCCTCAATTTTTGTTTTGTTTTTTCTTAAAAAAGTGCTAAGATTTGATATTTATGTCTGAAACTTAGCCCAACACGTCTGATGATGGGTTACGATTTTTGAAAATCGTGGTGCCTCTCCATTTCCAGCTGTTGTAAAATCTTCGAAGCATCTTATCTATAATTTTATCTGGTTGAAACAACAATCATGCTCTTCTAGACAGGGGCTTAGCAGTAAAGAGAGCCTGTCATCAGGATGTCCCCTGAGACTGTTGTCAATTCATGAAGCCTATTTTCCTTTATGGACAAACTTTATCAGTTGCTACAGTGGTTTGGCCGTCCTTTCATCACTCTAGCGGTCCACACTGTATGAACCCCTCTGATTATAGGTCAAGAGGCTGTATGGTATTCCTTTTCTCAGGACTTAATGACTAGTTGTGTGTGGCCAGGGGCAGATCTAGGTTTTGTGAGACTTTAAAGCTTAAATATTTAGAGAGCCCTCTTTAATTAAAAGAATCAAAATTTTGAATACAAAATTAGACAGAGGGCCGTGAAAGGGGCCTGTGCAAGAGAAGTTTCATGAAACTTAAGCTTCATTCGCTTCATAGGAAATATGCCTCAGAAACCAATGTCAGGAGATCTGTGTTCCAGACTGGGTACTGCTCCAAGCCACCTGTGGGATCTTGGCCTTTTAGATCATTTCCTCATTGGGCTTTAGATCCTCATTTGTGAAATGAACTAGGTTATTCTAGGATCCCTTCTAGCTCTCACCTTCTGAGTTCAGCAGGGTTAATAGCTTCTAGGGAGCCAGTAAGGCAAGTTCAAAGACTTCAAGGTCAGTGGAGTTCCAAGTAAAAGAGTGGTTTCCTTTGTGAAATGAATGGGTTGGACATAATGGCCTCTAAGGATATCTTCCAGTTCTAACGTTCCATGTAAAGCTTTCTATTTCTGCCTGTGTCTTCCTAGAGCCAGCTGGGCTAGGGTCACTATGTGTATGCCTCTTCTCTGGAAGCCACAGGTTTAAAAAACAAAGCACCCCTTCTAAACAGGAGGGCAGCCAGGCTAATGGCCACTGCATATTTGGTTTTTCTGGAGCACTTTATTTTGAGAGAGATAATGTGTGCCTTTAACTTTTATGTCAATAAAGGTAACATGTCCAGATTAGACAATGAGGAAACCCACTGACCGAAGAGGTTTGGAGACCAAAGAACTAGGCAGCAGCGGCCAACCACAACCTCTCTGCTTAGCCTTGTCCCAGGCAGGAAGCTCACTCTGTGCCAGATGTTTTAACAAGAGCTAGATCCTAAATATAAATCTCTGGGGTGGGTTGTTGTGGAAACTAATCTTGATTAAGAGTTAGATGTTGGCTGTCTCACTGTCTATTGACCTTCAGCAACTCAGAGGATTCCTCTTGTCTCAATTTTCTCATCTGTAAAATGGGAAGGTTGACCTTTTTTCTCTGTAGCATCTTTTAGCTCTTCCATCCAGTCTATGAACCTGCATCTAGTCTTTAAGGAGCTTAAAGCCAGACCAAAGCTTACATCTCAACTTGAATTCAAGAATAGGCCTCTTCATAGAGCTTAGAGAAGAGCAAATCCCAAGGAAGCATCCCATCCTCTCCTGGAAAGGCCACAGGGCAGTAATGAGAACCTAGAGACCACTTACAGTGTAGAAGTTGAGAGACAATTGGCTTTCAAATGTGCCCATGCTCCCATTCTTCACGTGAACAGTGGCCACTCTGAAAAGGGGAGAGAATTTTGCATAAGGACTGAAACATGCCTGATTGACAGGGACTGCAGAACACGCACAAAGCAGCCAGCCCTCCACTCTCAGAGCAACTTACCTCTGGTCAAAGGCAGCCTGGTTCACCAAATAGGTGGAGTGGTAGGTGCAGGAGAAAGAGTAGTTCACAGGCTGGTTCTTTACAATCACTGTGCTGTCATTGGAAACAATGTGGCTGTAGAAGTGGTAGATGGGGGGCTTGTACTGGAGAAAGAAAGAAGGCAGTTAGGGTGGGCCTGTACCCCCAAGAGAATGAGGATTCTGGGAAAAGTGATTGAAGATGGCTCAGAACAAAACCCAATGGGGAGACTTGAATGCCTGCCATTGGCAGTAACACTCACTCTTTTTGTCTGTGGGTGGCCTGATAATTTTTGTAAAGAGTTCTTGAGTTTGTTCAACTAAGATTGTTTAAGATAATCTAGGTTGAATGTTGTACGCTTAAAAATAAATCCTTATACCCACTAGGCTTCTGACCAAAATAGACTGGCTCAGAAATCTCTATTTCCCAACATCAACTTTTTATCCATTTTTTCTATCCAAGTAATCTTATGTGAATAACTTCACCCATCTTCCATTTCTAGAACATTACTTTCTAGTTCTTTGCTCTTTCCTTCTTCTAGTCGTGACATGATTTCTGAGACCCTTTCCTCTGACATGTTGGGCTCTAAAAATCACAGAACATTAGAGTCAGAAGAGATCTTGAACATTCACTTGAGAAGTAATCCATTTAAACCCACACAGATGATTTCTAGTTCACTTTACCAGGATACTCAAAGACAAGATGTTGTTGTTAATTATGCCTATGACTCTTCCCACTAAATCAATGAATCCTTGTGGGGCCTGTGGGGACCTGAAATTGGCCACCCCAAGATATGTCTCTTTGGCATCAGGATTATTTGAGGCTGATTGCTTTTGATAAACTGGGACAGGGAAGGAGGCTCTGAGGAATGAACTTGCCCTTTATTAGGACACTTAGATTTGTAAAGTAAATCTCTGACTGTAAAGGTGCCTCCCTCTCTGTACCAGGAAGAAGAAAGGAGATGACTTTGTCTCTAGAAACTCTTAATCAATACCAAAGGCAAGGACTTAAATCTGCATTTTATTGTGCTTCTCTGGTAACCTCCTGTACCTGACTTCCCTCCCCATCCCAACTTTGGTGTTTCTTTAAGGATTAAGCATCTTTCCTCAGGGAAGGAACTGATTGCTGCGCTCACCTGTGACCGCCCAGCTCCAGACAATCGACTTGCCTCCGGCTACGCCCTCTGAGACAGCAGACCACTACCTGCTGTGTCCATCAAGCACTGTGCTTACAGGGCAATCTTGTGACTATTCTGGGAGGGACATTTCAATCACATGTGAAACACCCTGTTTGGGGGTATATAACCACTCTGTGCACCCCACTTCTTCGGTGCCCTTTCTTCCTTCTTGAAGAAAGGCCCCGGGCCATGGTTCCTCATAAAGCTTTGTTTAATTTTCTCTTGCTATTCTGTCTCATGTGAATTTAATTCGTTCTCCAGCCAGACGAACCCACATTTGGGAAGAGGAAATGTCTTCCTCCCCTACAGGTCTTTAGGAGGAGGTGGTGGTCCTGGGAGCTCTTTACTTTCATCTTCTGAGATGCAGTAGACCTACAGTCTTCTGCAGTCAAGGCAGTAGGAATGCTAGACATCAGCCCTGGGGTCAGAACTAACCTCGCTTGGTGACTACATTGTTACTGGTTCTGTGGCCACAGACTAGTGACTTTATTGGGATGTCTCAGATTTCTCTTCTGTCACACAAGGATACTAGGCAAGAAAATGTCTGTGGTTCCTTCTAATTCTGATTACCTGTCTTGAATACTTCACAAGACCAAATTATGAATTGGGTTATGCTTTGGTCCCTCTTTTAAATCCCTTCCAAACGCGCTTCCTCACCACTTCAAAGGCTCGGGCAGAGGCTGGCTTGCGCATCCACCCGAGCAGGATGGCAGCCTGTGAACTGCTTCCAAGTGAGGTGGAAGTAGGGTGGGTACTTTGCTATACACACAGAAGGTGGCCTAGCTGGCTCTGGCAACAAATTAGGAGAATAAGATTCAGAGCCAAGAGTCACTTCAACCAGGCAGAAGAGAAGAATTTAAGCAACACATCCTAGGAAATTTGGGACTCAGGATAGACTCTTAAAAGGAAAATGGTGAATTCTGAATCCTTTTGAGGGTGGCCGGCAGACGTCTCATTCTGAGGTGTTGCCTCATTTTAGCAACTCTTCAGTGTGCGGCCTGGACTTACCTCAGACTGGGTTCCACAATAGGACTTGTTTTTAGGCGACAAATCTGGGATTACAAATTGGTAGTAACCTCCTTCATGAACCCCGTTGTAACACACTCCTCCGAGCGCCAGCTGATGCACTTCCCATCCGTAGGGACACTCAGGGATTTTGGTGATGATGGTTTTGGGATAACAAAACACAAGAATGACATCTAGAAAGAGGATATACATGGTTTGAAATCAGATATGGTAAAACATTAATCTACATGTGATGAGCTCCAGCCACACCTAAAGATGCAAAGCAGTTGGTTAAAAATACTTTCCCTGCTATTCCTTACGAGCTGTGATGAAAGTTTTCCCCAAATTTCAGTCATTGAAGTTCCACTTTTGCAGTTTTGGATACATTTGTGTAATATCTGCACTATACTTAATATGTATTCAAAATTGGGCCACTTTTAAACTCTAACCTATTTTAAGGAGTGTAGCTGTGAAATCAGAATGGATGGATTGGAGATATCATAAATATATAGTTTTTTTTAATCCCATGAAAATGGACACATAACTTAAAATAAAAAAATGTCCATTTCATGCCCAACACTGTGAAATAGCAGTTTATGGCAGGACAGAAATTCAACAATCAAATAGAAAAAACCTGGAAATTTTATCTTTATCTCTCTCCCTCTCTATGTCTGTCTCTCTATCCATCTATCTAGCATTCTCTAATTTTAAAAAGTCTGTTTATCCAATACATTTTTACTTCCTGTGGAAAAAGTCCGCCAGGCATCGGGGAGCTTCAGGGCTTCTCCTTGGCTGCATTATTGCATTTTCATAACAATACAAGCGCAGAGCTCTGCGTTTTGCAAAGGAGAAGCTTCAGGAAACTTTCCTTTCCAGGAAAACGGACTCGCACCAGCGCATACCTGCTTTATTAGGAGTGCATGTTCTTGCCGAGGCTTCCGCAAAGACGGCCAACAGGACAAAGGCCCTCGTCACCATTGCTTCTCAGAACCCGGTCCTTGCCAGGCGGCCAACCCAAGCTGGCCAAATGTTCACAGTCCTGCTAGGGCCCCAGCCCCGGGCATTCTAGGTCAGAAACACGAGTGAGAAATTAAAATCAAGGGCGAGAACAAAGCAGCATACACAGTCCTGAGGGGAATTTCCAAGGGAGATGGATAATGCCAGCCCCTGTTCCTAATGGTTCCTCGTCTGCCCTGAGAGGCAAAAAGCAGGACTCATACCCCTGGAAGCGTCAATGACACATGCGGTTGCTCATGTTCCCAACTGTCTCATTCTCTCCGGACTGTGGATCCTGCCTCCCAGAAGCTCCCTAAATCTCCAGCCCCAGTCCTAGCTGACTTTATATAGGCCGAGGGTGTAAAAGAAACCGGCTCCAGATAAATCACAATGAACACGCATTATCCACTCTGGGGAGAATAAAAGGAGACTTTACACAATAATCCGATGGGAAGCTCAGTTACGGCCAATTGAGTCTAATTTCTTTTACTTCACAGAGTTGGAAAAACTGTTTTTTTAACCGCTTCAACCAAGATTGGGATAAAAAGTTGAATTTTTTACCCCTCGTACAAAAAGTGACTCTGATTGGAGGCAAACTAATTTCTGCGCGGTTCCAGGTGATAATGTTCTTTCTTGATGTTTTGCTTTCTTTGCTTTATTTCTTGGTTTCTTACTTTCACAAGTAGGCCGTCTAAACTTTGAACTCAAGGAGACCCAAGTCCAGCCGTGCTACACCTGACACTCAAACAAAACTAGGCTGTGTGTGTTAATGCAAACATGTTGAAGATTTTTTCTCTTTTATGAGAAACTCTGGACTTCCAGAGTTTCATCCTGAATTTCATCTAGAGCTTCATCCTGAGATATAACTTTAGATCATAGACCCCCGAGGCTTCTAAAGTTTCCTTAGTCTTCCAGAGCAATAATATTAGATGAAGAAACCTAGAAAGGCAATCTTATGGGTCAATCCTTAGTCAGCTAATGAGATGCCACCAAAAACAACAGATTAAATGCAGCTCCTGGGAAGTTTCCAAATATATTACCTGGGAATTTTTAGCACCTAGAAATTTAAGAATCAAAAACATGGGTTTCTTTTAGTTTTTGTTTTTAGAGGAAACAGACCCTTTTATCAATCAACTGAGAGCATATTGTACAGAAGTCACTACATTAAGCTTTTCAGGAGATAAACGTAAGAAGTGTAGAAAATTATCCTGTCTTGCAGGAGTTTATAATGTAACTGAGAAGGTAAATGATCTATCCACAATGACTCAGAGTTAGATCGCCGAGTTAAGTCGCTGTTCTGTTACTTGCCATATTTCCTTAGTTTTAAGATACATATTCTTTCCTCCAAATGCATGTAATTTAATGTTTCAGAAACACCGAGATACGTCTTATAAGCAATATGCATACATAGTATGGTAGTTTCCTCAAAACTTATTGTTAAACCGATGGTATGTCTTACAATGATGGTGTTTAAGAATTGAGGAAATAGCCATGTGGCAAACCATTAAATATTTCTGTGATTCAATTACCTTCTCTGTGAATGGAAGCCATAGTCCTGGGCTCACCTCAAAGCGGGGGAGAGCAATGATGTGAAGGCTCTTGTCAACCGTAAAGTACTAGATAAGTAAATAGGGTACATGAAAAGACAACTAACAATTTCTGGCAAATGTTATGTGCCCCTGAGTTGTTTTTCTTTTCCACAAAGGAAAGTACCACAAAGTGCTGCAGTGCAGATTCATGCAACAGGAGACATGCCTATATTGTATAACACACAGGCAATATACTTTATGGATAAAGACCAAATGGGTTGGGGCCAGCCCGGTGGCGCAGCAGTTAAGTTCTTACGTTTTGCTTCAGCGGCCCAGGTGCGGACACGGCACTGCTTGGCAAGCCACGCTGTGGCAGGTGTCCCACACATAAAGTAGAGGAAGATGGGCACGGATGTTAGCTCAGGGCCAGTCTTCCTTAGCAAAAAGAGGAGGATTGGCAGCAGATGTTAGCTCATTGCTAATCTTCCTCAAAAATAAAAATAAAAATAAAAAATAATAATAAGAAAAGACCAAATGGGTTGAAGAGGGGAGGAGGAGGGAACACACTAATTTATTGTTATATACACTTGGATCAAGTTTAGTGTGGCCTAGAAACATCGGCAAGTTTATACTGATCTTCATAGATCATTACAGGCATTACTTCCTGAGCAGGGAAAAGGAACTTGAATCTCACAAGTATGTGTGAATTCTCTGAGTTTCTCTTTCCTAGGGCTTAGCACTAACTCTGCTTCTTTCTCCCTTCTTTTTCTTAAACATTTATTGGGTCCCTACAGCATAGCAGGCACTGGTCTAGGCCTTGGGAAGACACCGGCAACTTAGCGGAACTAGGAACTGGATGGGTGAGTGGGGGGATGCATGGAGTGAGGGAAGTCTATACTGGGAGTGTGTGATGGAGAGAAAGGAAAAAGGGAGGATCAAAATGCTGATAGAGGAAGCAACAAGTAAGCCAAGTCCCAGAGGACTAAAACAGCCTAGCTGCGTAAGGAACAGCCCCTCTGATTATCCCTTACTGACAATTCTCTATTGCTCTCCTATGTATGTTGGATACTCATTTCTATTTCAAGCAGATTCTCTTCACACATCTTCAAATATAGCTTTCTTTTCAGCCAATCTTGACCCAGGCAGGTCAACAGGATCATCTTCTCTCTGACTCGGAAGGGACACTAGTGGAAAGAGTTGCATTGGAAATAAAAGCTTTTCTTGTCTCCCAGGGGAAATGTCTGATGGATTCCTGCAAGATGCTGTGAGGTGGTATGGAGTAAGGCTGGGATCAAGAGCCCACCTCCATTGCTTATTAGCTATGTGTTCTTGGGCAAGTTCCTTAGCTTCTGTGAGCCTTGAGTTCCTCCTCTCCTGAAAGGATATGATACTATCTATGAGATAGTGTTACTCAGAGTATTAAATGAGATATAAACCCATCTGCATAGACGTAGCTCATTTTTCTCTATAGGGGCAGGGCATCACGGAAGACTTTCATTTTATGCTTAATTCTGCTTGGGAAATCCAAAGAGGGGAGCCTATCCGGAGTGGGTCACTGCTGGATAGTGTATATTATTGTCATCAATGCTGAATTATGTCATATGTAACTAACAGCACAGATTCTGGAATTAGAGGTCGTGGCTTCATCACATTTCCAATTGATTGATCTTGGGCAAGTAAATTGATTTTCCCTAGCCTTCTGTTTCCAAATCTGTAAAATTGGGCTCCTATCTCCTATGGCTAGGACCTAATGAAATGATACATGTAAACTACTTAGCACAGTGTGCTGCCTGGCACACAGTTAAGTGCCCAATAAAGGTTTGCTTTCATCAAGTTTATTCATCCGAGGTTGGTGTCCTCAGGCCGGGAGGACACATCGATGGTGTTCCCATATGAACTCTGGGCATTTTCTAATGGGAATATTTTTCTCTTTAGGAGCCCACCTTAAGAAAGAGCAGGTGCTTTTGATTTCTGGAGAAGCCTGATGATGATAAGATCTCGCCTACAATTTCTTGGAGGGGGGGGGACCCAGCTAACAATCAGGTGCACAATATTCTTTCAAGGGCAAGTTGAATGAAGTCGGGGAAGCGGAGTCAACCATTGTAGAAGGCTGGTCTCTAGATGTTGAATTTGCATAAGAAACAGAATGGGGCAAAATGCACTTGGGCCAAATAGTATTTGATACTTGCTCTGATAAAAGGTAGAAAGCTCCTAGTTTTTCCTGGTAATTACCCACAATTCCGCTGCCGCAGTCCATCCCCTGTCTGCTTTCTAATGCTCCTCTCCCTTCCTGGGATGAAGATGGAGATGGCGGGGGCGGGGGAGGGGGCCGCTGCCACTGGGAGACAAAATCCAAAAGCCACTTCTCCCACTGAGACCTTCGCTAATGCTCCATAAGACTCACAAATAAAACTGATGGGAGGATTTGAACAATCCCAGGATCTTGAAAGAGCCCAGTGGAGAGGGTTTTATAGCAGACTCATCTGAAAGGTGAGCTTGTCTCTCCTGTGTCTTTCTTTTGCGAATTGCCAGGCAATAGAAGGTACCCGTTCTGTTTGAAGGTCCTGCGTGATTTGTGAAAGCTAGCCCAGACAAAGCGTTGCCATTTGCAAAATGCCAATCAATATTTTCATTCATAGCTCAGAAATTGTATAGGTGATGAATCATGAGGATAAACAATACCAGTAAACTCTTACTGAGGTAACAGACGGTACTTTAAAAATAAAGCTAATGAACATGCATTAAAGTTTAAATGGCTGCTTTATTAACTTATTTTTTAAAGCGCTCTGTTTTGAGTTCATTAAATGTTGGCTTTGTTCAATGGACTCCATTGTTTCCGTTAGGCCCTGAATAAGGCCTTCTTCTACTTCATGGGAGACTGCCAATTTGCAAATGAGTGGGTGTTCCCATGCAGGCTTCAATGGCTTCCTCCCTGGGAATTAACAGCTCTCCAGAGAAAGTGCTTCCCCTCCTAGAAAATACGCTGCTTCCTAAAGGAGAACCGAGAAACGAGAAAAGAGCCTCTGCTGATAGCTCCTCAGAAATTCAGGGCTCCCCCCTGCTCTCCGCAGACCCAGCAGCCATCAGTTTCAGAGAACCAGATCGCCCCAGGTGGATAAACTGCCTCCTCCAGGAGATCCTGGAGTCTTATCTAGCCAAACGCTAAGCAGAGGATGAAGCCTTGCCCTCTTTCTCATCAGCCCGTCTCCCCACCGCCCTCCTTACCTCCAGTCATAAGACTGGAGAATAAAAAATGGCTCCTCCTCAGATCATGATTAGGGATCTCATTGCTGGTCTAAAACATTCGAGGCAAATAATTTGCTCTGTACTTGAAAATTTCCAGAGCGTCATTCACTTACTCATTCATTTGCTCATTTGTTCATCCATCAAATATGTAATGAATGTCTGCTATGTACCAGGTAGTAACCACATATGTATATATGAATCTCTGTCTTTCTCTCTCTCTCTCTCTCTTCTACTTGGGGTAAATCTAAGGATATTGAGGAAGGACACAAATAGGCTTTAAAGATAAAGA